GGGCAGGGTAGTGTCGGAAAAACACGGTACCTGTCCTCCAGTTCTCCCTTTTTCAAGGACACAGCTGAAACTATTATCTTGGATGACTGTAGATGGCTTTAAAGATAAACGGGGTTGTGTTATGTGTTCGGTAGCTTTATTTAGCCGATACCTGCTTTAACCAGTGGCAATGTAGTCTTACAGGTGACTTCTCGGAAACTGCTGGGGTCAGTCAAGAAGTGACAGTAAAATGTCTGTTATTTTAAAGAAAAGCAGGGGAAATGGGTGATGAAATCCTTTATTTACATCCCTGAGGATCGTTCTGGATGGCTTTCAAATGCAACTCGAGAGTTAATTTTCCAGATAAATACTTCTAGAGCAAGGGTATCAAACTCAAGGCCCGGGGTCCAGATTTGGCCTGTAGAAATAGTGCAAATAGTGAAGGACCGGCCCATGTTGCTGTGCCAGTGAAAATGGAGTTCGGGAAGGCCACATGTGGCCCCCGAGCTCCGTTTTTGCTGGCAGAGATTTGCAGGAGGCCTACCCAGACGAAAACAAAGCTTGGGAATCTGTTTTCTCTGGCAGAGCACTTGGGTCGCCACAGGTGCCCCCCAACACAAGTGACCCCATGCTGGCCACACCTACCCTGGCACCCCGAGATCAAACACAACCCCGATGTGGCCCATAATGAAATCAAGTTTGACATTCCTGTTCTAGAGGTAGTTGAAACGGATTTCTTTAAGCAGAGTTTAATATCTGGACGTTGAGCATTTCTATTCGTTTATTCTCTTCAGCTTTCCTCTGTTTTATAGACCTAAGAAGGTTATCAGTGAGAGGGTTGGTTGCAGTTATTTTTTTTTCCTCACCATTGTAACTCAGGGGTCCTCAAATGTGGTAACTTTAAGATGGGTTTCAGACTTCAATTCCCAGAATTCCTCAAACAGCTATGAACATGTTTTCTCAGATTCTGGCTGTGGAATTCTGGGAGTTGAAGTCCACAAGTTTTAAAGTGGCCAAGTTTGGAGACCTAAATGGTTGGCATATGAGACAGTTGGTATATCAGAGGTGGTATTCAGCAGGTTCTGACCAGTTCTGGAGAAACAGTAGCGGAAATTTTGAGTAGTTCGGAGAACTGGCAAATACCACCTCCAACTGGCCCCACCCCCATCTATTCTGTGCCTCCCATTGAGTCCCAGCTGATCAGCTGGGCCTTCTTTTGTTGCCCTTCACAGGAAAACAGAGCTGGAAAGCAGGTTAGTGGGGTGGGGAGGGAAGGGGGATTTTACAGTATCCTTCCCTGGCAAGCCCACAAGTCATACCACACCCACCAAGCCACACCCACAGAACTGGTAGTAAAAATCCCACTACTGTGGTAAATGAGGACGACTTGTAAAGGTAATTCTTCCGTCTGATTTATGTGTGGGCTAATCAAGATCTGCCTTTTTCTTTAAATGCTTCATCCCTCATTAGTACCTGTGCGTTTCCTTTCATTTCCTAGATATTTCTACAGATGCCTACACCCCATGCCTTTCTTCTCCATTTATCTTTTCTAAGATTACCAGAAACTCTATTTTGGCTTCCTTCCTCCATCACAGTACCATCGTATTTCTGATGCCACAATAATCAAAGCAACAGTGAACAGGTTGTTCTTTCATTCCTACTGTCTTGAACTCAAAATGATTAAGGACGTCATCCCACCTCCCCTCGATCTATTAAGAAAGTAAACAAATGAGATCCAGGGAGTTGAGCAGTGCTTGTTCTTGGCAAACTCTTTGCTGATTTCTGAAAATTACTGCAATGTTTTCAAGGGGCTTATAAACGGATAATGATTTCTTTTTGATCTATTTGCAGAGGTTTCCAGGGAATTGGTATCAGGCTGGTTCAAGTTTGTATTCCTGCGAGATTCCACACCTTCCCTGTCCCTCCCTTTCAGATAAAGGCACTTTGCTTTCCTTCAGTGAGTTAATTCTCCAAATTTTCTCAAAGATAATAACGTGTTTCCCTGAAAATAAGACCCCGTCTTGTATTTTTGGAGGCTCCAAAATAAGCAGTAGGGCTGTCAGAGGTGGTATTGGCTGGTTCTCTGAACTACTGAAAATTTCTACTACCAGTTCTTCAGAACTAGTCAGAACCTGCTGAATACCACCTCTGCTTTGCACACGCATGTGCGTTAGAACATGTGCGTGCCAGGAATCTGAGCTTCCAGTTTCTGGTGCTCCTGTGTGGTGCACTAGGGAGTTACTCTTCCAGTTTCCGGCACGCATACACGCACTCCCATTTTGGCACCTGGTGCTGAAAAGATTCGCCATCACTCCTATAGGGCACTGCACACCGGAACAACTAGATACAAGAGCAGTTTTTCTCTGAATGGCATCACTGCTAAACAAATAATTCCCTCAACACTGTCTGCACTACTATATTAATCCTCCCATCCTTCCTTTCACCCATCTCCTCCTACTTATGACGGTATAGCTGTAACTTGGTTGCTTGTATCCTTATGATTCCTACTGACTGTTTCCTAGTATGATTTGATTACTTATTTGTACCCTATGACCATTATTAAGTGTTGTACTTGATGATTCTTGACTAATGTATCTTTTCTTTCATGTACGCTGAGAACATTTGCATCAAGACAAATTCTTAGTGTGTCTAATCACACTTGGCCAATAAAGCATTCATTCATTCAATCAATCACAAACAGGCCATTATTCCATTTTGCATGTTCTTTTGCACCCAGGTATTTCTCCAATAAAAACCATTCATTGAAGTTAACAGTTTGAAGTTACAAAGGCACTGAAGTTACAATGCATTGACCAGTTTTCACACTTATAACCATTGCAGCCTCCTTAGGGACATCTGATTAAAATTTGGCCACTTGGCAACTAGCATGTATTTATGGCAGTTGCACTATCCCAGGATTTAATTTGATTCCCCATTTCTAACCTTCCCAGCTGGCTTCTGACAAGTAAAGTCAATGGGGAAAACCAGATTTGCTTAACAACAGTATGATTCACAATTACAATGATTCACTTAACTAAGGCAAAAAGGTCATAAAACATGGCATGACTCAATTTTAACAAGTGCCTGGCATAGCAATAGAAATTTTGGGTTGAATTGTGGTAGAAAGTTGAGGGCTATCTGTAACTCTGTAGTCCCAATGGTGCTTTTTCAGGAGGCAACTTGACTTCCTTGTTTTTCTTTGAAGACGTTTCGCTTCTCATCCAAGAAGCTCCTTCAGCTCTGATTGGATGGTGGGGAATGGAAGGATTTATATTCTTAATAATAACAACAGAATTGGAAGAGACCTTGTAGGTCATCTAGTCCAACCCCCTGCCCAAGCAGGAGACCCTATACCATTTCTGACAGATGGCAGTCCAATCACCTCTTGAAAGCTTCCAGTGATGAAGCTCCCACAACTTCTGAGGGCAACTTCTGTTCCATCAGAAATTGATTGTTTTCATGGTCAGAAAATTTCTCCTTATTTCCAAGTTGAATCTCTCCTTGATCAGTTTCCATCCATTATTCCTTCTATGGCCTTCAGCTGCTTTGGAAAATAGCTTGACCCTCTTCCTCTCTGTGGCAGCCCCTCAAATATTGGAAGACTGCTATCATGTCTCCCCTGGTCCTTCTCTTCACTAGACTAGCCATGCCCAGTTCCTGCAACCTTTCTCAATATTTTAGCCTCCAGTCTCCTAATCTCATTCTGGTTGCTCTTCTCTGCACTGTTCTAGAGTCTCAACATTCCTTGCAGACAGCTGGCCATTTGCTTTCTTTTAAGGAGTCATTCTGGCCACTTGGAGGTTTGTCTGTGTCCTCAGGGTTACCTGAGGGGTGCAAAAGGGTGTGGAGCCTTCTTGGAACTGTTGAAGGGACTGTGTTGTAGATTAGAGATAGATGATGTCATATCCCTCCCCCTCTCTTGAGGTGGGGCTGTTTCAATTTTGACAAAGATGGCCCCCTTTGCCTCCTTTCCTGTAACTCTGTACTATTCATGCAGAAAGTTTTTACAGAACTGTCCTCGGTCCAGCGAGTTCTGCAAATCTACTTTGCATGCATATAAAGCGTTGCTTAATCATCCATTTTGGCACTAAAACCCAAACAGATGTTGCAGAAAACTTGCCTCAAGAAAGGCAGAGCTTCAATCTTGAGTCTTTTCCAGCTTGGTGCTCTCCTGATGCAAGGAACACGCATGCTTTATTAATTTGGTATCCTGAGCCAAGAGGATTATATGCATATATCTCATCTTTGGTTCCCCCCCCCCCCCCACTTAGGTTGGATTCAGAGCTTCACACCACACAGCGAGCCAAGGATAGACTTGAGCCAAGTTTCCCCCAGGAAGAGGTTTCAGCCCAGTGGGGAAGATGATGGGAACTGGGGTCCCCTTGCACAGGGGGGGGGGAGATTATGGGAACTGCAGTCCCTTGGCACGGGAGGTGATGGGAACTGTAGTCCCCTTGCACAAGAGAAAATGATGGGAACTGCCAGACCCTTTGCAGGGGCAACATTATGGGAACTGCAGTCCCTTGGCACGGGTGAAAGTGATGGGAACTGTAGTCCCCTTGCACGGGGGGGGGGGGGGGGGCCCCCACTCGATAGGCAGTCAACCCCACGCGCCTTCCCCAAGAACCGCAGCAACCACCAACGACTCGCTCAGCGGCGGAGGGACCACCCTCCGCTACCGCCCCCCTCTAGCACGTGCTCCTCCGGGCACGCCGAACCTCACTTCCGGCAGCGGGAAATAATAGGAAGGAGGAGAAAGGGAGACGGCGAGGAAGGGGTGGGGGGGGGGGAGGAGAAAGAAAGAGGAAAAATCAGCAGCACGCCTGCGCGAACTTTCCTCTCAAGTTGGAGACGCATCCTTTTCCCCCCCCCCCTCTCGCGCCATATATACCCCCCCAAAAGTCACGCCCACCTCCTTTGCCCTGCTGGGCCCCGCCCCCCCAACCCTCCCCGGCGCGCCAACCAGCGAACGAGCCATAGGCAGGCAGGCGCGCGCGCGCGCACGCACGCCCCTCAGCGGAACGCCTGCGCCCTTGTGGGCTGCGGTGCGCGCCCGTCCGAGGGGGGGTGGAGAGAGTGGGGTGGGGGGGGGCGGCTCCTTTCCCCTCAGCGCCCGTGAGGCGGGTTCGGGGCGCGAGGCGGCGGCGCTGCTGCTGGTGCTGCTGCTGCTGGGTTTGCGAGCGGGGGCGTCCGCCGCCGGGCTTAGTCTCGGCTTCCCTCGCAAGGGGCCCTTCGGCTGGGCATGTGAGGCGAGGAAGGAAAAAAAGGAAGGGGGGGGGGCGCGGCGGTCGCCTCGGGCTTCCCCGGTGCGGGGACGGGCGGGCGGTGCAGTCCCTTCGTTGAGGGAAAAGAGCGGGCGGCGCCTGGTCCTCGTCCTCGTCCGGTCGCTTCCTCGCGTCTCACCCGCCATGAAGAAGTTTTCTCGGATGCCCAAGTCTGACGGCACCGGCGGCAGCCCCGGAGGCATCGGCGGGGCACCGGCGGCTGGAGGCGGCGGCGGCGGCGGCATCGGAGGCGGCGGCATCGGAGTCTCGGGCTCCCTGGCGGTGGGCAGCAGCAGGGTCTTCGCCGTGGGGCGCTTCCAGGTCACGGTGGAGGAGGTGCTGGCCGAAGGTGAGCGTGGCTTACCGATCGCCGAGGCCTGGGGGGCCGCCCGACGCCGCTTCCCTTCCTCGCCCTCGCGTTTCTGGCGGACCCGAAGGAACTCCCGGCGGGCGTGCTAGGCGGGTCCTTACCCCCCGCTTCTCGTAGGGCCCGCTCGATCTCCCAGGACGAAAGGCAGAAGTTGCCGACTGTGTGGGCTTCCCCTCCTCCTCACGTCCCGCTTCTGCCTTTTCTCCCCGGGGCGCTGCTGTAGGAAAAAGGGGGTTGCTGAGGCGCAAAGCTTTGCTTTCTCCCCCCCCTCCCCCCCGTCCTCCTCCACCGAAGGGGTGGCCTGGGTGTGTGTCTATGGGGTGTGTGTATGTGTGTGGGGATGTATGACTTCCCTGGGAAGCGAGCACAAACCCAGGCATTGGGGTGTGTATATATGTGGGGGGGGGGGTTAGTGGGGGGTAATAGGGAGGCATGGATGGGTTGGGTGGGGGGCTTCGAGGCCTGGTGGGGGGGGTCAGTTCCCCAAAGGGGAAACGGCTTGACTGGAATCCAATGGTATCTCTATGGCAGCGTTGGGCTAAGTTGAAATGTTGGCTTATTGTAGTCCTGTTTCAAGGGTTCTCTCTCTCTTTCTGTGCTTCCTGCAGCGAAGTTGGTCCTTGGAATGGAAAGAGGATGGAAAGATGCTCCTTTGGAAGGGGAAGGATGGGTAAAGGAAAGGAGGAAATTGTGTGTATATGTATATACATGCATAAACACACACACACACACATATATAAATAATGGTTGATAGTAATCAGATGTTTAGATTGGGTTTGGCATTTTATCCACTTAGGCTACCAAGGATTTGAGATAGGCAGTTTGTTATATTAAATTTTAAGCTGTCTATCATCTCATCTCTCTCTCCTCTACCTATCTTTCTTCCTCTTTCTCTCTCTCTCTCTCTCTCACACACACACACCTATCTCATCTCCCATCTACCTATCTCATCTCTCTCTGTCTCTTCTATCTCTCCTTTTTTCCTTTCCTTTTTTTTTTCTTTCATCCATAGCAGGGTTGTCGAACTCACACTCCTGATCTATAGCTAGCTAGCTATCTTTATTTAGCTATCATCTATCTGTCATGTATGTATCACAAGGCAGTGGATATATGTAATATTTCCGTCTCTTGTTTTCCCCACAGGAAATCCCCATGTGAGGTGGGTTGGGCTGAGAGAGAGAGAGTGACTGGCCCAAAGTCACTTTTAAGCTTGTCGATCAAATAAATATAAAAGCTTGTCTTCTTTTTGTTTGACATGGTCAGAGGACGTCAAGGTCCACTTTAATGGTTTACATTCATCATGTGAACCTCTACATAAGGGTTAAGGGTATTGTAAATCCATTGGTAATCGGCTCAAGATTCTGGGTGCACAACTACTATTATTGAGGGTGGTTGTAAGTGAGTTATAGGGCCTGTTTCTCCCAGAATAGTATATAGAGATGCAGATACAAGATAACAAATTAATTACTGGAGATAAGTACATAAAAATATAGTTAAGCAAGATGACTGAATTTTATAAGCTGTTTGCACTTTAAAGTTTAGAAATTCATTTTCAGGAGTCATCTAAAGGTTGCTCATTAAGATAGTTGAACACCAAATAACAGCAAAAAGATTATTTACTTATGGGCCTGTCACTTTCAGAAAGGTCATATTTGTATGTATAAATAATTTTATTTAGAGGGCATTTGATCAATGCATTTGACTAATGTCACTGTAAATGTCTATACAAGGATGGTAACATAAGAATAAGCCATTTATTAACAACACCATGAACTTGGCCTGAAAGCAGGTTTGTAACTAATACAATTAGTTCAGAAGAAGTGTTACATGTTCAGATTTCCCAGCCTCCGGATGGTCACATGCTGAACCAATTTAAATTTCCAAGCCACCTTCAAAGGCAAATGTACATAAAGTACATTATAATTGTTTTGTTTGGCTAAAATGATTCCTATTGTTGAACCTTTTGCATGTTTAAAATAAAACGCTTACGTTTGGAAGAAGGGGGATTCCTGCTGGGGGAAGGGGGATTCCAGCGGTAGGTTAAAGTGGTATTCAAAACAAATTTAGCATTTTTAAGGAAACATGACTTTATATGGTGTAATTAAATGCAAAGGAGAATTATTTTCCACATTTGTGAGTTTCACTAATGACTTTCTACTCGTATTTGTAGTTAAAATAATGAAAGGATTTGTCCTGAAAGAATGGCTTGCTTTTCCTACAAATAACAACATGACAGATTGCTTTTAGTTTGTGGTGTGATTAATTTGTAAAGTAACTGAGAATTTTAAGGAATTGCAAAAAGTACAGTCTAAAATTTGATGCTCTTCAAGTGTGACAAAGTACTTCATTTTTGTTTTTGTTGAAACAGAATAAGGCAGCTTTCACTTTGGAAAGTTTTGCATGCAGCACTGTAGATTTCAGATATAAAGTTGATAGTGGGAAAAAGATGTACAAGTTGGTTTGTGGGCACAGGTTAATTATATATTGTACAAAAAAGCAGAGGGGGAGAGAGAAAGAAGGTGCCTTGCAGTCAGATACATTGTGCCTGGATTTGATATAAAACTTGCAGAAGTACTTGATTATTGTTAGGATAAGCTGGTGAGTTTATATATGCTGAAAATATGAGTTTTTTGGTATTCCAGATATTTAGGAATAAATTATGATTCTTATGGAACAGGTATGGCTGGGTTATAAGGAAATTGTAAGTGTAATCCTTTTCTCCTCAACTCTGTAAAATAACAAAAACAATGCTGCCATTAAAAACTGCATCCTTCAGAGATTTGTCTTATTGAGCTTCCCCTAGATGTTCAAGGCTTTTTATAAACAGTATTTATCTGGAGTATAAATTAAGTATTAGATAACGTTAATACTTGTTATAATCCAGTGGGTGACACTGAGAATTCTGAAGTGAACTGAAATTGCAAAATGGTTGCTGAGAGGCATTGCCTATTTATAATGTGGAGGCCACGGAGGTCATAATGGGATACAAAGCATTAATTTATAGACTATTACTGCCACTCCTTTCTGCTGTTCTTGTTTATTCTTGCCCTGTTTCAGAGGAAGGGGGCATAATAAAAAGAAATACTAAGCCATACCATAAAATACAGCCATACCATAAAACTTATGTGGGTCCATGAGGGGTCTGAAGATGTTTCTGGAAATAAAGATGATGTTGGAGGCTAGCACTTCACTTTGCAGCCTGGCAATCTCTTTTATAATTCAAATAAATATACATACATACCCATCATACTATGATAGTGTGATGCAAAGTGTACAATATGAGTGAGAAGTTACAGTTTTGGTTAATCAAGGCTTTCACAGAATACTTTTCAGTAAGATAACAAATACACTAGATGACGAACTTAAGTTATATTCAGTTTGAATGCCGCATTTTATACTCATTATAAGAGCATACTACCAATCAAAACTGATTGGTAGTATGCTCTTATAACTAGTATAGAATGCTGCATTCAGACAGAGTATAACTTAAGTGGTATATTTTAGCCACTCTGCCACAAGGAGAACCCAAACCCGATTTACTAAACTGTCCTTGCACTTTTGTATGCAAGCTAAATGTTGCCTGCACCTTGCTAACAAAGTATTTGTATAGTGTACCTGGTTATTTATTTGGAAAGCCTGATAGAGGCTGTATCTGTGAGTCTATTGGTGCCATTGGACCTGTTGGAATTAGATAATCTTTTTTAATAGAGTAAATGCGTCTAACCTGCTCCAACTTTGAACCTCTGTGTGTGTGCATATATGTGTGTGTGCACGTACCTTTGAGTCAGTATTGACTTCTTATGACTTCTTGGATAAATCTCTGCAATTTTCTTGCCAAGATTTCAGAAGTGACTTGCTATTGCCTCCTTCCTAGGATTGAGAGAGAGGGATTGGTCCAAGGTCACCCAGCTGCCTATATGCTTAGAGAACTAGAACTCCTGGTCTCCCATTTTCTACTCTGGTGTCTTAGCCAGTGCATCACACTGGCTCTCTGGTGTGTTTATTTTTCGTTTTGATCATGTCCAATTCTTGGAAACTGCATGGACATGATCCTTACAGTTTTCATGGCAAGATTTTTCAGAAGTGGTTTGCCATTATCTCCTTCCTAGGGCTGAGAGAAGGAGATGGGTTCAAGATCACCCAGTTGGCTTTGTGACTAAAGTGGACTAGAATTCATGATTCCCTGATTTCTAGCTTGATGCCTTAATCACTAAACCAAACTGAAGAACCCTTTGGAACGGATGAATTAATGTTGGGCCAATCCCATTCTCTCAGCCCTGCTTGTCTCAAGAGTGATAGTTGTGGGAAATAAAATGAAAGAGGAAATAATGTCTTAAGCTCCTGGAGTAAAAGCAAGATATAAATGTCTGTAATCCATAAATAGGTGTGCAATATATTTAAGAAGGCATATATTGAGAAAAAGCTGTCTCGCTATTCATTTAGGGATACCAAGAAGGCAGTTGTTACCAGAGGATGATGTTTAAGGTAGTAGCCCCCATATTTTTCTCAGGCTTGCTGTTTGAAAAAAAAAGACACGTACTATTGACCTGAGTGACAAGGAACTGAATGCATGTATTGTTAGTACATTTTAAAACATTTATTTGCCAAGCTGGAATGGAACAGGCCAGGGTAAACTGATTCAGCATACGTATGAATTTGGTTAGCTAAATTAATCTTGGGGCAGTTGCTTTCTCTCAGACCAACTTGCTTCACAGGATTGTTGTGAGGAAAATAGGAGGAGGAAGGTGTGTTGGATATATTCATCACTTTGAGTTATTTATAAGAATAATAAAAGCAAGATATAAATAAATTACGTAAACGATAAGACAAATTTTCAAGTAAATACGCTGGATGGAAGATGTTTAGTCATACATGACACTAAATACAACCCAGTTGAGCCAACCTTGCAAGTCCTTAAGTGACAAACACTTTGCACAGAAGAAAGTACTTTTGGTATGTACACATCAATGTACTCTACC